TATATCACAAATGTATCAATTAAAAGATCTGTTCTAGTTGTTTCACTGCTCGGCTTGTCATAGCTTGGATAATATTTGTTCGTCGCTTACCACATTGTACATAATTTACAATACAGTTAATACGGTTGAGAAAAGCAATAGTTTAACCTTTCAATCTCTTCAAAAGTTCTCTTTAACAAACATCTCATAGAAAAGGCTGCTGACTATGAATACTCTGATAAATCAAATGAACATCTAACGTTAACATCGGATCAAATTACGTGGGGAAAATCAAGTCAAAGTCTATTACTGTCCACCAGAAAACTGTTTTTTTACCTAAACTTGTGATGATTGAATGATAATTTCAGTGTCAAGTTTCCTATTTTACTGCAATAGTAAACACGCCAGAGAAACAATTTAATACTTGTAAAGGACGATCATTATGTTCGATGCTACTGCTTGTATACTAATTATTATTATTATTTCATTAAATTTCGATACATTAGCTGTGCGTAATTAACCGCTCGCAGCTTGTGCACTAAGAAATGTTTGTAACGCTGAGTTTGCTATTACGAATAAATTAAATGTTCGATATTCAGGGTAATTGGTTAGCACATAAGCCGCGAGCGAGAAAAAAAGGTATAGAAAAATAAGACGTGTAATAGCAAAAGATATATATTATCAAAAAACCCGCGGTAAAAGCAAAACAGAAGGGACTTTTCGAGAACATTATACACGGCTTGTTTTACAAATTTGGCTATTTTTCCGACAAGTGCGAAACCATTTATTTATCGGGGTTTTTTACACAAGCTCTATAGAAATGGTAAACAAATCAATTCTTTGCTACCGAATTATTAAAAAATTAATGGGTTAATTAACTAATTAGAGAGCATGCACGTTATGAGTAACAAATAAGATTCTCTAATCGCCAGTTAAAATAGTACTTATTCACAAAATAACATTAAAATTAAAAAGTACGATAGTTTGTTTCGTGGGTATAGCATCTGGCGTTATTCGGGAAATACCGTCTCGCCATCTGCAGACCACCCAAATACCTATAAGGAAAATGGTCTTTGAGAACGGCCGGCAAAAATCCAAACTTTTTTTCAAACTTGCTAAAATCATCTGTTTCTTCATATCCTTCCGGCTTCGCAAGCAGCAACTCATCGACTTCCGTCTTTGGTCTGCGTCCGTCCTGGAAAAGCCTTATAGCCTCTCCGATATGAGCATAGTCAAAAATATAATTCTTGCTAACGTATTGTAGTATTTGAGCATCATCGAATCCGAGGGGGACTCTGCAGACAATGTCTTTATCGTCGATTACGCGCCAGCATGTATTAAAACGATTAGATGGTGTGTTACAAAGCGAGGCAAAGTTGGCGGCAAAGT